GTGCAATATTTTTTTTTCCTTTTTCCTTCTGATAGTTCATTATTATAATGTACAGAAAAATAAAAGGTTCCTGTATATTAATTCTGTATGCTGCAACCTTACTGAATTCATTTATAGTTCTGATAGTTTTTTGGTGAAGACTTTGAGGTTTCTATGTGTAGTATCATATCATCTGCAAAGAGTGACTGTTTTGTTCTTGATGTTGCATTTCACATCTTCATGTCTATCTCTTAACTACTTTTTGCAGCTCTAGTTGCTTTTTAACATGTTATCTTTTAATCTCTGTACAAGATACTGATGTTTTTAAAGAGTACTGGTCAGTCGAATACCCTGTTTGAGTTTGTGGATTTTTTTTTTTATAATTATTTTGAGGTTGTGAATCTTTTTGCAAAAATAATAAAAATATTTTTTGCTTTTCTCAGTGCATCTATCAGAAGGCAATGAAACTAGTATGTTTTGCTGCTCTCAATATTAATGTTAATCATTTGATTGAGGTAATGTCTGCTAAATTTCTCTACTGTAAAATCATGATTATTTTCCTTTTTAATGAGAAAGTATCTTGAATTTTATACCTTCATACATTTAGAATGATAATGATAATCATATTAGGTATGTTAATATTCTGTACCTTATCATGCTTTAATGCTTTCCTGACCTGTATACGGATTTTTCAAGAGGCAGGTCAGTTGGTCTGGTATTCCCATCTCTTTCAGAATTTTCCACAGTTTATTGTGATCCACACAGTCAAAGGCTTTGGCATAGTCAATAAAGCAGAAATAGATGTTTTTCTGGAACTCTCTTGCTTTTTTGATGATCCAGCAGATTTTGGCAATTTGATCTCTGGTTCCTCTGCCTTTTCTAAAACCAGCTTGAACATCTGGAAGTTCATGGTTCATGTATTGTTGAAGCCTGGCTTGGAGAATTTTAAGTATTACTTTACTAGTGTGTGAGATGAGTGCAATTGTGCAGTAGTTTGAGCATTCTTTGGCATTGTGAGAAATCTTCAGTGTGAGATTTTCTTACAGTTGCATATAAATCCATTCTGTGATATGCCATGTTTCAACCAGTCTCCCATAGTATTTGTAAGTTGATTTCAGTATTTTGTAATTATGAGTAATGTTGCTGTGAGTAAACTTGTGCATGTGTCTAAATTATGATTAAGCTTCTCCATAAGTTTCAAGGACAGAAAAAGAGAATTTTTAACTATCTGAGAGAAAGTTGCTGACATGATGCACTATTCTTTTCTAAACATGTTATTATAAATATATTCACATTTCACCAAGTAGTCAAATTCATTCCTTTCAGAATAAATATACTGTTTACAACCACAGATTAATCTTAGTCTTCTTCAATGTGAGATTGTTCTTGAACATTTCCTTGACATTCATGACTTTGATTTCTTTGACAATTATAAGTCAGCTATTTTTTAGAATGCCTCTGAAGTTGGGTTTGTTTGGTAGTACTTCATGAGTTGATTCAGGCCATATATCTTTGGTAGAAATAACAGGGAAGTCATGCAATATTCTTCTATTTGTATTCTATCAGGTAGCATATGATTAAAATGATTTCTGATGATATTGTTTTGATCACTTGATAAATGTTTGCCTTCCAGGTTTCTTTTTACTTTACATATATTACCTGTGTAACCTTGGCTAATGGGTCAAATCAAAAGAACAGTTTAACATTTCCATTGCAAGATTTTGGAAAGCTCTGTTTAATGGGGAACTTTTATATTGAGTTCTAAACAAAGATACAAGTTTTTCTACTTTTTATTCCAAAAAAAAGTTAGATTTACAATAGGGATGCTATATTTTTCTCTTCAGTATTTTGTCTTTGCGTTAGTGAGGGATATTTTTCTCTAGTTTTCTTTTCTTGCAATGCCTTTGTTTGGTTTATAGTAGAATAGTCCTGGCCTCATAAAATGAGCTGGGAAGTATTATTTCTGCTTTTATACTGTGGAAGATGTATAGAATGGGCTTTTTTTCTCTTTTTTTTCTTTCTTGAATGTTTGGTGGGATTTTCCAGTGGTCAGTGAATGTTCCATCTACTCTAGAGAAGAAAATCTGTTTTACTATTTTTGTGGGCTACTATATTTTATTTGGTTTCACGCAGTGTACCATATTCTTCCCATTCCTCTGGAGACACCTTGTACTAGGATAGTGTATGGCAAGTCAGAGGAATGATTCTGAGTTTTCGGTCTTCCATTTGTGCTGTAGCTCAGAGATGGTACATGGCAACCAGCTCCAGTGTTCTTGCCTGGAGAATCACACGGGCAGAGGAGTCTGGCGAGCTACAGTCCATGGGGTCACCAAGAGTCAGACATGACTGAGTGACTAATACACTTTCCAAAAGGATCTCTGAAAACTCCATGCCTCTTCTGCCCTTTTCTAGCAGTATCCTTCTTTTACATGTTATTCCAAGTTTCCACTCTTGGTGGTGGAGTGGGGGTCTCTATTACTCTAGTTAAAACTTACTGTTAGGTATGTACCATGTTCCTGGACCTTAGCACAATAGCCTTTGTTCTCTGTCACTCCCTTGACTGCAGCTGTGGACTCAGCACATAACTATTCTTCTCCCAAGATTAGGATTTTTCCTGCCACTGCTTCTTCTTCACATAAGCAAAGTATGTTCACTTGTGCCCTAAGGCTGTCATCCTTGCCCTTCCCCTCAGATAAGGTCTCTGTTCTATGGTGAAGATGCAGGGGGAGGATCCAGCAGAGGTTCCTGTCCTTCCTGCATGGTTTCTGTTCCTCTCATTCAGATCTGAACCGTGATAGACCCTTCTGATCTTTTATGTAAACAACCATGAGGTTCACAGGGGTCCACAGTGACCAAAGCTGAAAGATGCTGGGACTTGCCTAGTTCCTGGGCCTCCCCAGAGGTTTCTTCCGTCCTACCACTCCCACTTGGCCTTCATCAACTTCTTGACTATTCTAGCTGAAATTTTGTTGATGTCTGGTTCTAACTATCCTGAGTGAGTATATCTTCTCTCTCTCTTCAGCCATCATCTCCACTTAGATTTTGAGCTAGTTCTCTGCAACCTCCATTCTCTGATGGCTTTGTAAAAATGCTGTGAATTTGAAGTTAGTTTGGCTCTCATTCATTATTAGCATGAGAATGCTACTTTTTCCTAGACCTGGAATTTTTTTTTTTATCTTAGACCTGGAGTTGTATGCAATCAACTGACCATATATTTTAAGAATAAATGTTTACCCACTGTTCATTTCTTTATTCATCCATTGTTTTTAATCCAAACAATTACGTAGCAGTTACCATTTGGATTCTGGGGCCAAAAAGGTAAATAGAATAACATTCTTATACTCATGATCCTTAGTATCTGGTGCAGAAAAAAAACAGACAAAAGAGCAAGCAGTTATTCCTAGAATGAAATCTGAGGGGCATGTGTTCCAGGGGCCAAGGGAACAGAGACCATTAATGTTTGAGTTCTGATTTTAAGAATGTGTGCTAAAATGCCAGGTAGGCAAAAGGTGAGGAAGTTCTTTACAATCAGAGGAAACAGAATATGCAATGTACAAAGCATGAAACCAGCATGAAGTTTTTGGAACTTTAAATGGAATAGTGTCTCCTTTCTTTTTATACATGTTAAGAACTGTGTCTTTGCCTATACTAGTGCATTTTATCATACCATAAATTTTTCAGACTAAAAATGAAAAGCTAACCAAAGTTACAGAGGTAGCATTAAACTTGATAGGCATAAACACACAATTTACACAAATTTTTCCCCTCCAAGTATATTTTAGTATAAAGGTTGTGTATATCTTTAAAAACCTGTGAGATTTTGATAGCAATTGTATTAAACCTATAAACCAATTTGGGAAAAATTAACATCTTTACTATGTTGAATCTTCCAGTCCATGAACAAGCATGTCTCTGGAGATGGTGACTCTTGAAAGTCCTTTGGACTGCAAGGAGATCAAACCAGACAATTCTAAAGGAAATCAACCCTGAATATTATTGGAAGGACTAATGCTGAAGCTGAAACTCCAACATTTTGGCCACATGATGTGAAAAGCAGACTCATTGGAAAAGTCCCTGTGATACCGAGAAACATTGAGGACATGAGAAAGGGGTGACAGAGGATGAGATGGATAGATGGCGCCATCAACTCAGTGGACATTGAACAAGCTCCAAGAGATGGTGAAGGTCAGGGAAGCTTGATGTGCTGCAGTCCATGGGGTCACAAAGAGTCAGACATGACTAATGACTGAACAACAACAGCAACAATTATTTGGGTTTTCATTTCTTTCCTGAACGTTTAATAATTTTCAGTGTATAGATTTTGCATGAGTTTAACAGAGAGGTACTTTACTTTCTTGGGAAAAATTGTAAATTATATTATGTGTTTTTGTTTAACTTTTGACCTCCTTTACCCATTTCTTCTTTACCCCTTGCCCCAGGAATAGTTCTTCTGAATTATAGAATGTACATTTCTTTAGTGGATACCTTTAGCTGAAGCAAACCAAATATCGCTATAACATTTCAGATTATCAAAAACCTTATCCTACCTTTTCCTTTTTCCTTGCATTACTCTTAGACTATTCTAGGACTTTCACCATTATTCCATTTAGTCTCTATCCAATTGACTATTTGCCTGGATAAAAACAATATAGGTTTGCTCATTTTCTCTTGTTAACTAACTGTGCAACTTCATCTATTTTTCCTGTGCCCTGGTGTCCTCATCTGTCAGTTGAGGTAATGTTCCTTTCCCTGGCTCCCTTATAGGGATGGAGTGGATACTACGAGAGAAAAGACAAGAACGTGCTATAAAAAGCAATAAAAAAAAAAGCACCCTTAAAATGCAACATGAGCAGATTTCATTCCTGATGAGAAATGTTTTCTGAATTTCTGGATTGGCTAAATGTCCCTTCTCTTGGCTCTTACAGTACCTGTACTGGCATCTGTTTTTATCACTTAGAACATTTTACTGAAATTATCTGTTTATATGAACATTTCCACCAGCAGACAATAGACTCCTTAAATCCAAGAGGCATGGAGGATTGCTCTTCATAGCTCCTGCCCTTAGGTTCACAGTAGTATCCATTTCACTGCACTGAGTTCATCAGTAGAAGAACTGTGTCTTTCCGGAAGCAGGCTCAGTTTCTTGGGGCCCCCTCTCGGCCTGGACATCCTTCTGTTAAATATGAGGAGACCTCGTCAGGCTCTTTGGTCAGGCTCCACGATGCTGCCTATTTTCATGAAGACATCCACCGTAAAATCTGCCTAGGTAGGGAAGTCCCTACCTCTTCTCCCAAATGACCCCAACATATCTGAAACTCCTTAATACCAAAGCTTCATCTCATGAAAAGAAATTGGATGAAATTCAAATAGTACCATAAAATGTCAGAGTTTTAAGGGCCTTTTGAGACAGTGAATAAATTCTGTTCTGAAAGCAGTTGTTTCCAGGAGGAAGAGGAAGGCTGGGAGAGAAGTAGAAATGGTACTTTGAGGAGGGAAGAGCAGGAAAGGGGGAGGACAGAGTCTCTTCATCTTTTAGGTGCTTTATTTATTTTTTCATTTTTGTTTTGCCCAAAAGTCAACCTTTATACTTCCTGTCCTCAGAGCTTATCCTCATACAGGTATCCTGTGTTATCACAAGGCAGAGTGTACCTGGGTCCTCTGGGATAACTAGAGGTCAGTAAGTGGGCACTTCCTCAAAAGATGACCCCTAGAGTTTCATTCATATGCAGGTGCAGAATAGGTCGAGTACTTATTTGGATGCTAATGTCCTGGCTTGATTTATATCAGATCAAGGATGTAGTTGTATACTGTAAACCTTGAAGGACCTTTTCCCTGTGAGAGAGGATGTGTAAAGGTGGCCGCGGAAGAGCCAGTGCCCCTCGGTGCCCCTCACTATCTCTTACTGAGGTCACTTCATAAGGCGCTGGTCATCAGATCATAGCTGGCTGGGATTCTTGAGACACAGATGTGGGGAATTCAGTCCTGGGCCTGGGTAAACTTTTCGTGCTTCAGAATTCAATGCGTAGCTCCAGCAGGGCCACAGTAGGCCTCTCACTCCCACAAGCAGTGACACAGGGAAAAGGGCAGACCCCAGGGGTCACAGCAGAATGCTACAAGGCCCCCAAGTGTTTGGCAGAATGCCCAGCATGCATTTCTTTTAACCAGAGAGAGAAGACAGATCATTGTGGGAATGAGACTGAAAAACTCAGGAATACATTGGAACTGAGCCAGATGTTGAATCCTGGAAGAAAAAGAGAAACTCCAGGCATTGGACCGATGTCCCTGGTTGGAACAATTGAGTTACATATATACATGCACGTCTATATATACTCACATGTGTTTATGTATATGTGCATGTATTTATTTCGTATTTCATAATTTGTAACTTTCAGACATATAACAGTTACACTCCAGGAGGTGGATTTAAACAAGGTCCTCAGGAACCTGAAAGTTTTACCAAGTGAGCTTTAAAGTCTGTCCCTGGAAGTCTAAACCGGAAGAGACCTTAGAAATCAACCCTGGCCCTTCCACTCCTGTTTTATGGAGGAGAATAATGCCGGAGGAAATGATGTGACTTGCTCATCATTGCATATAAATAAGTATTGGGAGGATTTTGTTTTTCCCCTAAATTCAGGCCAGAAAAAAGTCTGACTTCCCCCTTTCATTTCAGTGTGTGGACCCCTCTGGAACATACGACTAAGGGCCCTGGAAGCCTAGCTCTGACCAGTGTGTAAGGGCTTGCTCTAGGATTGTCTCTATTTAAGCCTCACCTCCACTTTCATGGGGAGGTAACTGCCACTCGGTGCATACTTTACGGGAGGAGCTGTGGTCTACAGAGTTTAAGTGTCCTTGTCCAAGAAATGGTGGGGAGTGACCAAAGCTGAGGCCACCTGCCTCTCAGTCCACTACATCTTCTCAAGCGAAAAGAAAGCAATGAAAAGTTCGGAGGACTCCTGCTAGGTTCTCGCCACAACCCTCTGTGATGCAGCCACCCTCGACTCGGCAACATTGTGCAGACCTTACCTGCACCCTCTGTGCTCTGCCCTGTCAGTTTTCTCTTCACTGAATTATCCCACTGCTGACTTTCCTCTTTCCTTGTCCTAGTTGGTTCAGGCTACTGTTCTGGGGGCTGGAAATCCAAGATGAGGTCTCCAGCCCAGTCAGGTTGTGGTGAAGGGGTTGCAGATGGCTGGTTTCTCACTGGGTCTTTACATGATGAAAGGGGTGAGAGATCTCTGTGGAGCCTCTTTTATAAGATTACTAATCCCATTCAAGAGAGCTCTGCCTCTATGACCTAATCACCTTCCAGTGACCTATCCCCCTCCCCAATCCTAATATTGTCATCTCACAAGGAGAGGACTTCAACATGTGAACTTAGGGAGGATGTAAACATTCAGACCATAGCAACTTTATTTTCTAGAAAAGATATTGCTTCTGCTTGCTGGGGGCCTTGTTTTAGAAGATATGAGTCAGACTATGCCCAGATCATCTGTTCTTCTGGACTAAGACAGGAATGTCGACACAATGGACATGAGTTTGAACAAACTCCGGGAGATAGTGAAGGACAGGAAAGCCTGGCATCCTGCAGTCCATGGGGTCGCAAAGAGTCAGACATGACTTAACGACTGAACAACGATAGCAAGACAGGAATAGTGTACAAGTCTTCACGATACTCTGCAGAAGATCTGGCACATTGTAGGTGTTCAGTATACCCTTGTTGAGTAAATATAATATGAATATTAGGCCAAGAATACTAGTTCTTTGGAGTCTGTGACGCATGACTACATACCTAGCACCTTTCCAGAGTGAATGTTCCCAGGATATGCCACCACCCGAAGTCTTGACTCATGGGCTTTTTCTTCTTGCATTATCATCGGCAGGTCACATCTGTCATTCTAGAGCCCTGCTCTCTAGGTCCTGGGTCACTCTGCTCCTCCGCTGACTGCTGGCTGAGCCTATCAGCGGGGGGAAACGATTTTGATGGAAATTGTGTCAAATGGATGGAGCAGAAAATTGTTTCAACAAGAAGACATCAAGACAGATCAGATAACTGGTGTCTTGAGAGCTCATAGGAAGGTCCCTTCACAGCTGAAACCCTGAGAATAAGCCTCATGAGTGCGGCGGAGGGTCTGGACAGATAGATAACCATGGCGTGGGGCTGTTTTTGTTGGTTTTTGTGGCCGCGTTCACACAGAAGGCTATAAATCTGACAATGTGTGGCACTCCGGAGTGAGAGTGAAAACTGAGGGCTAGAGGTGGAGAGAGCTGTCTTCCAGCGCCACTTAACTGCCCTTTGATCTGGGAGTGGAGACTCCGCTTTCAGGGAGGGAGCGCAGGTGGCAAGATGTAAACAAAACAACATCCTGGAGCCTTTGTCAGGCCTTCTAAAAACAAAGTGGAAACATGGTCGGCTCCTGAGCTGACCAGACCTTGAAGGATGAGTCTGACACATAACCGAGTGGTTCACACCCTCACCCATGCACCGGGGTCCATGACGGCCAACAACGAGCCCTCTCCAGACAGGCTGGGGGTGACCCCCAGGCCTCGTGGACTTCTGAAGGGTTCTGCTGGATTTCCTTTGAACAATCCGGTAGGACAGTCACAATTATTCTTGCACACGAGATTTTGGTAACTAAAGAGAAAAACGTGCGTCTCTGACCTGGCTTTACCGCTGTGCATTTCCTGTGTATTCATTCACTTCAGAGTGAGTTCTATAGAATGGCTGTAGGTGGGGGATTAAGAAAGAATAAGCGGTTGACTTGCGATCTCTTTCAGAAACAAGAGCGCAAAGCAGGAAATGGGTTTGGACATGTTCGCAGTCTCCCTCCATTCTGTCACCACAGAGGGCCTGAGGCTGGCACTGTTTACTGAGAACCTGTCCTGCCTGGGCTCTGCGCCCAGGTGTTTTCCTGAAGCCCCTACCTGGGGCTCCCAGGGCCTGGCAGCCTCTGAAAGGGGCAGCTCTGTGCGGAGAACAGGCAGCCTTGTTAGGTGTTGGTTCCGATGGGGCCAAGTGACTGGAGACGGAGCCGGGGCTCATTCGCTTGGGGACCAGAAGCGGTTCCCTGACTTGGGTCCCCCCTCCGCTCCTCGTGCCTGGCCTCACCCCCGTGTTCTCTCATGAATTCCTTCAGAGCAAGAAGCGGCATTTGTGTATTTTGAAAAGTCAAAGGCCGGTGTTAAATGTTCCTACCTCTGAGAGAAAGCACATTGCCTTCCCCATTGTCGTGCAAGGGAAGAAAGCCCAGCTCAGCCCTGTGCTCACGGCTCCAAGTCGGCCCATTGGGTGCCAGGTTTTGGTCTGAGCGAAACTCCTGAGAACGAACAGCAGGGCTTCAGCTGCAGTTAATTTTCGTTTGCTGTTTGTATATAAATGCTTTTAGTACTTAAACTAAATTCAGATCAATTAAACTAATGTTGTTTGACATAATATTCCTTGTTCCAAAATCAATATCCCTTCATTTGACAGACTTATTCTTGAATTCAGGATGTTTATTGTTCTTAAAGCTTACCTATAGACCTGGTTTTTGTCTTTAATGATATAAAACAGCTCTTCCTCGCATACTGTGCGCCAGCATGTAATGGGGTTCAAATTTCTCTGGTAAATATCTTTAATTGTACCATCATGCCTTTTAATCTAACAGCACAGGGCCACTTTCTCTGTCTCCATTTGTCTCCTTGGTTTTAAAGACATTCCTTTAACGGTGTCTGTTTAGAAGGAGTCAGGGTGAATGAAGGAACCAGATCAAGATTTCAAGGCCAGTGCTCCCCGCCTTCCCAAGAGCTGGGCCAACAGTGGAGAAGCCCATGGCCTCCCGGACCCTCCACGCTGCCTGTGTGACTGTGGCCACTTGCCCCCCACCAGCCACCCAGTGCCCCTTTGGCTCCCAACCCGCCATCACAAAGTAACGTACATTACTAAAACACGCCACATTTTCTCATGTGGGCTTTTCCTGCATGCCCTGCGGCTCTTCTTCACTCCGCCTTTGGCTCTTATAAATCTTGTTCTGTTTTCCCTGGCCTTTGTCCAGAGACAGGCCTTGCTTGGCTCTGGGGAGAGCAGGCCGGGGGTCATTTATCACTTGAACAGTGGGAATGGGGGACTGAACAGTAGGTTTTTTTGCCATCACCACAGCAAAGGTCTGTGCACCGTCACCTAATTGGAAGAATCTGGCCCGTGTTCCTCTAATTGCTCCACCGTGATAGTTCTGCCCAGGTCAGACTTGCCCACTTCATGACGAAGAAAAGGATTGTCTGAGAAGAAGGACCCCTTGGTGATAAAACAGGAGTGTTTTCCAGTGTTTCCCTTTTCTTCCAGGCAAATATTTTCTTTAAATTAATAGGCATTGAAATGATGTTAGCTGGCATTTGTGAGAGCTCTAATCAGCCTCTGAAATACACCCGACTTTGCTCTGCGACCAGCGCTCAGACAGGACGAGGTCTCGTGAAACCCGAGCTGGGCTTGTCGTCTCAGTCATCCTATTGGAAAGTCTCCTGAAGCAAAATGAGCCCAGACCCTGGGAAGAGAGCATGCATGCACACAGGCACACACGCATGCATGCGCACACACACATGCATGCACACACACACATGCACGCACTCACACACAAACATGAACACACACATTTTTTTCCCATGTTATTTTTCTAAGGACCATGGACTGAAATCATAGAGACTTGATTGAACTCAGGAGTCCTTAACTCCAAATACTGATGAGCCTGGAGAAAAGGGCTATAAAGGGAATAGATGTTTTGTGCTACCACATCCACATTTTGTTTTCTATGAATGATGTTGTCGTTGCTGTTGTTCAGTTGCTAAATCATGTCCAACTCTTTGCGACCCCATGGACTGCAACATGCCAGGCTCCCCTGTCCTTCACTATCTCCCAGAGTTTCTTCAAATTCATGTCCATTGAGTCGACTATGAATGACGGACAGAGCTTTAAGCTTGTTCTGGACAAAAATTGTGACTTCATCCTTCTGAGAATCAGTGGCCCTCTCTCTTCTGTTTTGTCTTGTGTCCCTCTGCTCTCAAGTTTGTTTTTCTCCTCTCTTCCTTCTCCTCATGCCCTGCCTCTCTCCTCTGCTTCTCTTCCATTTGGAAGCACATCCTGGAGAGTCTAAACATGGTCAGTCAATCTTCTGTATGTAAGTGGCATAAAACACTGTTGGTTAAAACAACTTGGAAGGAAAAGCTTCCCCACAGTCCCTCCCTTCAGTGAGCCGTGTTTCTTCTCCTAGGATGCCTTTGATCATTGTCTTGCTCATGGCTAGCTGCATTTCACTTCCATTTCTCCAGCTTCCTGTTGCCTCTGGCTAACTGCTCTGTCCATCTGCTAAGTCCAGTTCCATGACGATCAAGCCAGGCCGGGAGAGAAGAAGATGCCCTTTTGCTCCTTGGAGAGAAGTTTCTGGAGGCCCATCAGACTCTTGCTCAGCAGCATCCTCAGCAGAAGCCAGAGAGGGAGGCCTAGGCAGAGCCAAGAAAAGCCACCAAGGCCAGGGCTCTCACTGTAACGTCCTAGAAAATATCAGGAAGAGACAAGCCTGCTAGGAGTTTTCTATAGAGATGCCTTTCCTCCACTGCCCTGAGAAGGAACTTAGTAGCTGCACCTCCTGGTACATCACAGATGGTCAGTGATAACCTCTACCTGATCCTCAGCCCTGCTGAAGAGGAACTTTTCAGTTAGTTTTTTGTTTTGTTTTTTTAATGTTATTTCACTTTGACCATTTCTGTATGAGATGGAAAAGGCTGGCATGATCAGTCCCATTTCACAGATGAGGAAAATGAAGGCCAGAGTAGTGACTGGGGCAAGGTCACTTAGTTTAGTACACAGGAGGGGCGGGGGTGGGGGCAAGATGAGTCTGGGCTGCAGCTCACTGCACTGTGCCATGCTGCACCTCTTCTCAAAAGAGCACACCCCTTACTGGTGCCAACCTGCGTGTTTCTCTTGCCCTAAAATCATTGAGATGGGCTAATAGGGTTTAGGAAGGCTTAACCTTATCCAAAGCCAGACCTTCCCAGAGTGCTGACCAGAGTCATCCGGGTGACCATGCAAAGAGGAACATTGCTTTGATGGACACCTCCAGCAGCTCTGCCAAGGCACAGCCCTCAGGTCTCCGTGCCACCCCCCCCCCCCAGGGCAACAATTAGGGCCCTACCAGGTGACTCCTACTCCCTAATCAGTGTA